AGTGACTATTTGATTTCTTCAATGTTTTTTTTGTTTGTAAGTACGACATAATATTGTATTTTGTATAACTAAAATAAAAATTTCGTATCTACTTTTGTTTACTACACTTACGGATTTGAGTTAAAATAATGTAACTTATATTTCTCTAAAATTGTATATCTTAAAAATTTGAGCTCCTAGGTAAAAATGAATACGTTATTTGAATTCAGGACATCAAATTGATATAGGATCAGCTCAAAAAACCTCGACTGCAAAACAGCTGTTCCCCTGTGTATCAATATTATCCATCTACCATGAAAAAGCAAGTGCTTATGATTCGCAAAATTAAAGGTAATTTGTATTTGTGCCAAACAGTATTAAAGATATTTAACCATAGTTTTCAATTCTGATCAACTTGTCTTAATAACAACAGCAAAAAGTGCACAACAAAATTATAAAAATACATCAAATTTGTTGAAGAATATTTGGATTCACTTAAATCAAAAATCTTAAATAGAAACTTTTTGCAGCAATAATAGCTTGTGCTTTGGCATAGAATCTTGCAATTTATGTGATTTTTGCCGTTAAAGCTGGAACTGTACACTGAGGATTGTTAATACTTCTGCATCTGATGCTATAAAATTTAATGACAGGGGTTACGTGACGGCCACGATAATCCTTTTATATCATGGTCCCCACACCACTTTTTTGTTCTTTTTGCAGTGTGGCAGGATGCACAGTATGGTTAAAATAAAAAACTTTTATTTTCAAAACTTTGTTCTGCTGTTGGAATCAAGTCTCCTGATAAAATAAGTATGTACATTTCTGCATTTGTATTTGCCTAGTCCTTTACTACTCTATAAATCCCCATATCATAACCCCTTAGGGAAATTTTACTTCCCGTTCTAGCCAGTCTGCAGGCCTTTTTGGAAAATCACCTATGCATAGATAAAACATCCTTCAGCAACGAATCAAAATTTGATGTTTTCATAAAGACTGTCTAAAGCGTACGGTAAAAGGGGTTTGTTATGGGGATGTATGAGTAGTAAAGGGGTTGGCAAATATGAGTTCATTGATGGTAGTGTAAATACAGAACAATAGCCATACATTGTAATGGGTGATCCAATTTTAGTTTCCTATATTGGCACTACAACAAATCAGATAGTTGTAATAAGCATTTGTTTTCGAAGCGTCAAAAGTCAGTTTGTAGGAACACATTTACGAAATGGATCGTTTGACGACCGCTCAACGCATGCAAATTGTTTTATCAAAATAACAATTTCGTACGAACCGTATACAGACTTCTATGCGGAGATTATGGTCAATTTAATTATCCTACTGAGCTAACTATTCGGAATGTCTTAAAAACTTTATAAAGATACTGGAAGTGTTGCAGATAGGAGAAGGCCTGCGTGTCATCGTTCAGCTGAAAATATTGCTGCAGTTAGTGAAAGTGTAGCTGCCAAGTCAAGAATGTCGATTCGCCGGCGCTCGCAAGTTTTAGGCTTTTCTTATGGCTCCCTTTGGCGCATTTTGCACCGGGATTTGCATTTACACCCATATAAAATTCAGCTAACTCAAGAGTGAAGCCTAGAGATCATAAGCAGTGACGAATTTACACAATTTGGGTATTAGCTCAGCAGGAAATCGATATTAACTTCTCAAAGAAAATCTTTTTTCTGATGAAGCGCATTTCCATCTGTCAGGGTACGTAAACAAACAAAATTGCCGCAACTGATAACATTAACGTATAACGTCTAAAACTGATAACATTAACGTATAACGTCTATCATAAAACTGAAAACTAACTTCTTGAATCTTCTCGAACTGTGCAAATTTTTCTTGACAAGGAATGATATAGGCCACAGGCTACTGCAGGGTGCAGGGTAAAAGTATTAAATTTGGGTAATGATACTTAACCTTAAAATCATTCAAATTGGAACTCTTTCATTCCCGGAAATTGCAAGACTGTATTAGATTCCATTCCAAAACTCATAAAAACCGTTATTGTCACAAAAGTTTAAGTTATAAGATTCAAGTGAGTCCCAATATGTATTTGTCAGTAAATTTTTTATGCAAAAAATGCTTATGATCAGACTTTATGTTATGTTCTTCAATCACGAAGACAAAAAGAAAACAGTTTAAAATAAATATAAAAATGTGTATGCAACGATTTAGAACATAGCAGAAAAATTGCAGAGATAATAAAAGAAATTGGAATTAGAATTTAACCTCCAATCTGGTTACACACTATAGTTGAGTACAGATAATAAGATGAAATACAATAGAAAAGGAAGACAGAATAATAATTTACGGTGCAAAGACAATGTGAGTTATAAAAAAAACTCAGGTGAAACTTTGAGACAACCACCAGGAATTTCCAGAAGAGATAAAATCAGAAATTATGATACCAGTGAAATAATTAGGGTTCATTCTCACGGACATGATAAGACCTATGCTAACATATGGTGCAGTTGTCGGAGTATTGAAAACCCAACAATTGACAGCTATCCGCATGGAAGTCATTCTTAGTCTCACTCCCCTTGATATTGACATCAAGGAGGTTGCTCTGATGATAATGACAGTTGGAATAGACCCTGATGTAGGATCTAGTGAGGCGAGATGTTGCTTTTGGCGGGATGCGCTTATTAGGCTCCCACTTTAAGCGAACATGGACTCCATCTCACCGAGTTGCATCTTTCACAAGCCATATCAGCACCTCAGAGGTAAGGCGTGTTAAGTCACATTTTTCAGAGAAGAGTTTTCTCCACTTCACCATATCAAATTCTATCTAGTGGAAAATATATTTGACTCCTCCCTAGTTGCGTCTTTCGCCAAAAGATGACGGAACACTCGGAAGTTGCAAATTAAGTATTGCAAATTTGGGGTTAACAATAAGTCACACCAAAGTCAAAATTTTAGGCCAAAGTAAAAAATCTAACAAAAAATCGAAATAAATTGACCAAACAATTGACTTTTAGTAAACTCACAGTTTCTTTACATTTTTTGTTAAAATAATAAGTGAACTTTAAAATGTCTCTCCTGACAAATGTAGATTTGGTGACTTAACACACCTTACCTCTGAAGTGCTGATATAAAGTTATAACGAAACAAATAGAAGAGCCAGAAGTGGCAGGTACGATTCACATCTACACAGATGGTTCTAAAACAAAACAAAGTTCAGGATGTTGAACATACCCCAGATCCTTAGACCTAAACATAAAATGGGCTGAGCAATTGTGCCAATGTAGTTAGTTCAAACTGAACTCAATGAATAAAAGAAGTTACCAGAAACAAATACAACAGAAGGAACATGCTCATCTATACAGATAGCAGATAAGCACTACTCACCCTGGACAGACCATGAATTTACTCTAAAACGTCACAAAGCTTTGGCCAAAGTAGCCATCAACAATGTGGTTCCCTTAAGATGGATCAAAGGTCACTCCACATCGAAAGGCACTAGCCAAGAAGGCAGCCAACCAAATACTTTTTGGACCTGGCCCTTCTGTTGGACTGACAACATCGACAGTGACAAACCTAATTAAAAAAATTCAAGGAAAGATGGGATGAAACAAGAAGATGCAGAGTTGCCAGAGTGCTTTTAAGTTATCCTGACAGCACGATAGCAAACAAATACTATGATTAGAGAATTTGTGCCTGATCACAGGCATTCTGACTGGTCATTCTCAAGTACGGAAGCATGAAGCTGTCAGAATGTGTACTCTATAGGGGGTGCGAACAAGAAGATGGGACCATCGAGATTATCCTCTACATTGCCAGATGCTCTCACTTATTAGAAGACTTGTGTTCGGTGACTATCCGATAACACCGGGCGATATAAGAAAAGCACCTCTTGGCGACGGTGTCAACTACATTACTTCTGTAGGCTCATAAGTTAAGAGATACCTATCAATTTTGGAGGATGCACATAGGGCCTAGTGAGGCCTAAGTGCCTTGAGTCAACCCACCCTCCACACGTTACAGATACAGATTAGGGTTGATGCTTCACTGACAACAGATATTGAAGCAGCTGATATGGTTTTAACATCAAACAGCTTTAAGACGTCTGTATTTTTCATTTTAATGTGTAAAGATTCTTTAATGAGTAAACAAATTCCTCTTTTAATCTGTAACTTTTTCAAAAAAAACTTTATATACCTACATTTATAAATAATTTATTGTAGAAATATGCAAATATACTGGGTCATTTCATAACTATACAGCCAAACTTTTAGGGGTGGTATGGGATATCAATGATGTATACTTTCGACTTTGCCACATTGGTGGCTAGAGAGAAGGGTTAGAGAATTGGAAAATAATTTAATAAACCGAATTGAGGTCAAAATCTTGGAATGTGTGTGTGATTGGATTTTCTGACAGCTGATATAAGAATCTTGGAATCATACTAACAATTAGGTCCCTGGATGTATAATGTTCTGATAAGTAGTGGTTATGGTGTTGAGACGGCAACCCAAAGCCCTGCTGTGAACTAATTTTTCAATTTTTCTTTAATCTGTTATGACATCTCAGATTTTGGAATATTTTCACGAAAAATACAACTCAAAACGAAGGAAGCGATATAGGAAAAATCAAGAAACGAATAAGTAAAAAAAATATATAAATTTAAAAAATCTAGGGTTATTTTTTTTTCAGCAAAAGTAGTTGATTTGCCCCGTTTGGACACATAGAAATTTTGGATACACGCCAATAGGTCCAAAAGATACCTCAGTAACATATTGATAAAAAATTGATCTATTTTTAAAAATTTTTATTACGTTTTATTTTGAGATTCCCTACAAGCCCTAAAAGTGTGGCGTTATAGTTACCCATTATATAACAAATATTAAAAAAAAACACGAATTGTTTTGAAAACGTTACTCCTATCATAGCTATTGAATACTCAATTTATTTTAAATTTGACTGAACTTCCCCAAATTGTGCTCTTTAACATATACAAATTTTCGTTTAGATATTTACGATTATATGGCAATACAAATTTAAACAAACAAGTCTCCTACCTGCAACTGATCTTGCAAACGTTCATTCCTCTCAGCAAGTGTCCTTCTGTCTTCGATGGGATCAACGATGCTCTCATCGGTGTTAAGCTCTTTGCTGACACCACCGTTAACCATTTCGTCATCTTCATTGTGGTCGTTCTCTTCTAGATGACCTTTGGTCGCGTTAGCGAGTTGCTGCTGTTTCAACTCCTCTTCCTTGCGTCTGGCAGCTTCGACTTCCTCTTGAAGTCGTTTTGTTTCAGAGTCTTTAGCTTCGACCTAAAAAAAATACAAGTTTTGAATATTTTTATCAAAAGTAGGAGTAAATAAAGAAAACATAAATTTGCTGAAAACAAATACCACACAAAAATAGTCTTGCCTGGAACCAAAATGAAGTCCAAATTAGTTCTGACATCTTACAATAAATTTTTACTATATATTACAAAATTAATTTTGGTTCTTGCTAAGATGGTACTAAATAAATTTTTATGTAAGTAATGTTTATTATTTATCCTTGCATGTCATTGTTATTTGTCACATTCAATGATAAAAAATAAAAATGTTTCATTATAAATAATTTACAAATTTACTAAGTTGTTTAAAATTTTGTTTTGGTGTTTCTCAAGGACCATATTTAGGATATTTATTGCTAGAGCTATAACAATATATTTATTCAAAAAGCTCGACGGGTCTGAAGGTAGGATTTACAAATTTGAACTTAATATAAAACAGAAACAATAAAAAATATTTTTCAATTTTGCTTTTCCTTATTTTTATTAATTTTCAAAGCTTTTTATACCATTCTCGTGTGTCAAGTATTCTTATTTTTCAATAATCAATATTAATACTTTTTAGATTTTGCTGTTCTTCCAAAGAGTACTATAAAAAATAATATTCGACAGTCTGTGTATAAGTTTTCTTTGTTGGTGTCTCCTCTCCATACTTCTTATGTAATCTTCTCTCAAAACAAAACAGTCTACAACATTTTCCTTTACCATCATTCTAAAATATTTTTTCCGTTTTTCAACATTAGTTTCTCTTTAACCTTACAGAAGGTCTTTACTTTAGTTTTTCGTGAAACATATTTAGACCTTATCAGTGTCTTTAGCCATGGTAGCACTTGGCACGCTTGATATTCACTTAATATAATTTCTGTAAAAGAGAAAATATAACTATTAACAAAAAAAAAATTACTCACTTCTTCTTGTATGCGCTGCACCTCCACTTGTTTGGCCTTAATCTCATCTTCGAGTTTTTGTCTTTCAGCAGCTTCCATGTTTTTGCTCTCCTCCAATCTTTCCATCATGGCTTGCAATTCGTTTTGCCTCTTTTCTAGCTCTTCCTTGGCCGCCTGCAGCTGTTTGAGTTGTTCCTCCAACCGCCTGATCATTTCTTGCGCTTCAAGGAGATTGGCTTGGCTCCGTTCCATCTCCTCCTGCATGGCTGAAATTTAAGACAAACGTAATTTTTAGGATAATATGAACATTTGGAACAAAACTAATAACAATAAAAAGTCCTAAGGAGAAAAATGGGGACAAGGAAGATATGGAAGAAAAGAAAAGATGTATAAATAGTTGAAGATATGGAAGAAAAGAAGGAAGGTGTATACAGAATATGAACTGATTAAATTTATTTTCATAAAAACTAATTTCGAAGTTATTAAGCTCTGAACACTGACTGAGCACTTTGTTGTAGGTATGAAAGTGAAAACAGTTCTGTCTTTATTTAAAAATAATAAAGCCAAGGGTGACCGAATAGTGAGACTCAAAAGTTAGGAGGATATAAATAAATATATGGAAATGCAAAGTGCAAAGGTGAAAGATTTAAGTGAGACCTAAAATATTGAAGGAAATTGACAGGATAGACAATAATGAAAAAATTAACAGAAGATTTTTATCAAAAAACAAATTGAAAAAGATTGGTTTGATGATAAATTTAAAAAGAAGATAGAAAAAAGAAATAAAGGAAGAAAAATCATGATTGAGAAAGAAACAAGCAGTAAAATCCACCTATTCAAAATACCAAAAAAGCTGTAAAAACTTGTAAGAGAAAAAAGAGAAAATATCAATACAACCTAATGCAAGAAAAGAGGATTTTAAAAACAGAGAAGTTAGAGCACTTCATGCAGGCACAAGAAGGTAAAAGAAAGAATGATACATTTCAAAAAATATATTTTGTAAAAACAAATATGACGAATGACGATGAAATTCAGGAGATGGAAACAATATTTTAACGAAATACTTAATGGTAACAGCCAAACAGAATTGATTTATGACGGACAGGAAGAATAGTGGGAACCTTCTCTTATAGAAGATATTCCAAGTTTGCAGGAAGTAGAAAACATAATTTAAAAATTAAAACAAAACAAGAGCCCAGGAAATGGTACAGCTGCCGAACTGTTTATAAATAAGGGCGATCTCCTGTATGATAAAATGTACCAACTAATTAGAAATATGGAAAAATGCCTAAAGAATGGTCAAAAGTGGTGTGTTTCCACTATTAAATAAAGTAATTCTACGATTTATAAAAAATATAAAACTATAGGGCCATAGTCTACATTATTATTTAACATTATATTAGAGAAAGTAATTAGAAATGCAAATATTAATAAAGCGGGATTATTTTAGCATCAGTGCCTTCCCTACTCAGATGATATAGCCGTATTAACACGACCAAAAACCGAACTTAGAGAAGAGAAAAATTGACTCGAAAAGTAGCACTCCAAAATAAATGAGAAGACCATGGAGGATGCACAATGATCAGTATTAAGCTTAATGCTATGGAGGAACCCACCCTCCCCCACCTTACAGATACAGAAAAGCAATTGGTCAGATTAGCAGTATTATGAAGGGAACATGTTTGTAGTGAACACAGATGCAGGAAAGAGATAAAGTTTTGAGGAAGTATCCACTTTCAAATATTTGGGGGTAATAGTGACTAGAAATCCAGATCTAAAGGAGAGGTACAAGACTTTTGAAAGGTAATAGATGTAGGTACGCTTTTAGTAATTTAAAAATACAGGTATATAAAACGGTGGTAAGCCCAATAGCAACCTCTGTGAGCGAGACTTTGATATTTAGACAGAAATATAATACAGATTCTAGAAATATGAGAAAATAAAGTGTTTAGAAAAACATTTGGAGGTAAAAAATGGACACTCTTTGGGAGAGAAGAACTAATAACCAAATTAGTGAGCAATCCAAAACTCAAATCTAATAGGGCCACCAAACCCCAATGATTATGATGAATGGGACATATTTTGAGGATGCCTCGGGACAGAATTCAGTGAAAAATACTGGATAGTAAATTAGGATGAAAAAAGGACGACCAAAAGAAAGAAGGTTGAAGAGGACATTAAAAGTTACCTATTGAAAAAAGCTGAGAACAAAAAGTTTTGGAAAGAAATTGTAAACAAATCTATGGACCTTATTTTAACTAACCTTTAATTCTATCTTCATACTCCTGCTGTTTCTTTTCAGCCCTTTCCCTCGCGGCGATTTCAAATTGCAACTTTTCTCGCTGTTGTTGTTTAGCCAATTTATCCTCGCGCGCTTGCGCCTTCATTTGTTGAACGTCGATGCTGTCGGGCTTGCGTCTGCGCATATAGAGCTCGTGGTTACCCATGCAAAGAGCCAAGATGCGCTTGTTGATGCGCACGCGAGGCGCGAAGAATACGAAATCGGGAGCCTTCTTGTCGATGGGTTTGATGATAAATTTGCGGTCGTTGAAAGATATGTTTCGAATTTCGGACCAGGGGAAACCAATCTTTGGTGTTAACCTGTTAAATAAAAATACAAACATTTCATTGGATGTATCAAGTCTTTATATTTAATATATAAATGAGAACCTGTTGACAAAGTATAATACTATTATTAAAGTAAGGGTATGTTTTTTCATTTTCAAAAAAAGTTGGAGATAAATTACTAACGGATATATTATCTGAGAGTTAGGGTCTATTTATACTCCCTTAGTATTAGTATTTGTATTAGTATTATGATTAAGCATTAAATTTGTTAAATCATTCAAAAAAGGTATTTATACTCGTTTTATAATTAGTATTAGTAATTCTTTTTTAAACATAATACCTAATAAGATATAATTCTGCAGTCAACAAAATATATGGTTACTGAAGAAATGTGTAAGAGGCCGATTGTGTTCTTTTTAAGATATTTTAGTTTTAAATGTGTTTTTATTAATATTTTTACTAGTTAATTTTATCTAAAAATATTATTATTCAAAAATAGGTTTAATTATGGACATTTTAACGGATTTAAGTCTCAAATTTATAACAGATAAAAAGAAGCAGAAATTTGATACAAATCAGACAGAAAAGAGGCCTTTGCTTCCCCATTGTGACATGTCATTTGTCAACTTTATAATCGGTAAACACTGCTGATACACAAAAATTGTATACAGAGCATGATTTGTACCGAAATATTATCGTTTTCGAGCTTGTTGGAACAAACAAATAAACAAAATAATCATATGTGTGTTGTCAATTATCCTTATCCGTTGTCTATTAAAAACAAAGGCCAAATACTCCATTGATTCATTTTATAGAAAAGAAGAAATTTAATATTTAATTTAAAAGTTGAACCTGTCAATTATTAAGCATAAATATTAATGCTAATACTAATCATAAATCGAGTATAAATGTCCCCATTACATTGTGAAGGTTCAACTTAATGCTTAATCATAATACTAATGCAAATACTAATAATAAGGGAGTATAAATAGACCCTTACTATGACAGATAATTAAAAAATAATTATAATCTGTAGGGTAGGTATCTAATGGTTTTTAACGTTATGTGGTTGTAGCTTCCTGTTTATCCATCAGTTAAGTACTGTACTATCAGGAATTTGATAGTTAGGATAAGTTATCATTCAGGTTAGTTTTATCTAGAAGTATAAATCTGAAATGTCTAACAGCTAGTTATTTTGTACAACCTATTGTATCATCTCTGTAAACGTTTAGAGAATGAACTAAATATATACATTTTCCACACACATCTTACTCGAAACATTATTTTATACATATTATTTGCCAAGGAAAATACTGAAAAATTAAAATTTTACACCTTTCCTCAAATTTTTCCATTGCGGTTTATTTTGGAGAAATCATGTATAGGGCAAAAATTATAGAGAATATCGCAAATAACTTTTATTTTTTGTTAAATTTCTCGAATACGGTTCATTTTAGAAAAATTATGTAAAGGACAAAAATTATGAAGAATAATATTAAAAGCAAAAGCAAGTTTTATTTGAAGAATTTTCTTCTCCAAGCGTAAATAACATATATACCATAAAGTAGAAAAACGACCCCCTATAAAGTTCTCCCCTAGATGTTCCGACTATATCCAAAATTTAATAAGTTCACCGCAGGATGGATTGAAGCTTAAATTTAAAATTTGGGGTTTTTCTCTTTATCCGTTTTTTAGTTATTTTCAAAATTAAAAAATTTGCACTTTTTTTCAAATATTTCGAATACAGCATTTTAGAGAAATTATGCGTGGAACAAGAATTGTAGAGAATGACATCAGAAACAATTTTTATTTGAACAATTTTCTTAAAAATTCTAATTTTGCGCTATTTGTCAAATTTCCCGAATACGGACCATTTTAAGTTATCTGGGGGATAAAAATTATCTGACACTTTATCTGAAGGTAAAAAGAACAAGATTATATGTGATTTTATTTTATGGGAGCTTGGCAGTCCAGGGGGTCGATTGACATTTTTCTATACATCGGAAATTCTGACATTTTTCTATATACAGGAAAGTGTCACAAATTCCTATAGGAGAAGGTTCCTGTAAGTCGAGAATCGATCCCCAGAATTAGTAGAAACAATCATAAAATAAAATATTGATTTTTTTTTCTGCGTTTGAATATACCATCGAGATAGAATGAAGTAGAGACGACATAAACATTATCGACCCATATGACAGATGGACGCACTTAGAGATGCCAAGAGTGACGGAAAAATGTAATCAAAATGGTGGCTTAGAGTCGTACTTTGATTTATTTGAAGTCAATGATTTTATATTTAAAGATTGACGAAATGAAAATGTTTTTATATAATTTAAATGAAGCTTTTAAAAAAAAAATACATTTATTCTCACTAAAATTGCTAGGCTCCACGAGCTCGAGTTTGATACATGACGTAAAAGACTAATGCAAAGGTGTGGACACTTTCACTATTGTCACAGCATCTCCTCTATATATCCTATCTCAATGGAATATACACATCAAATGCATTTTTTACCTCTGGGGCGTTTTTTTGTCAACACAGAACACAGCTACTATTACCGCGTTTGAATATCCACATCGGATGCTTCTGAGATGTTGTGAATTATTTATCACATTATAGAGAATTAGATCTGACTGTAGATGTAATAAACAAATGCTGTAGACTTTATTGGTCAAGTGATAAAATGACAATGAGAAGTTAGAAGTTTATATTCTTTAAATTTGACTTTTGAGACTGAAAATCAAACTAAATTTAAATTCTAAACAAAAATTAAACACACTAATCACTTTTACATTCACGCTAGCATAAACAAAGGATAAATCGATAAACTTGGCATGGCAACTTTCTGGCATGGAACGAACATCTCATTTCAAATCGAGATGTAAAACATGTAATCTTGACACAGCTATATCTCGGATAAACAAACGCAGATGTAGTAGATTTGTCCGATGTAGATAAACAAAAGCTCAAGATGTAAAAAATGCATCAGATGTGGATATTCAAACGCGGCAAATATCTGCATCGGTGTTTGTTTATTCGAGATGTTGTAGTGGCGATTATCAAACTTGTCATTTATTTGTTGAATTCGTTCTATGCTAGGTTTATCGATTTATCCTTTGTTAATGTTAGCTTGATTATAAAAGTGATTGTTCAATTTTTGTTTAGTTTTTAAATTTAGTTTTTTTTCTGTAATATTATATCATCGACCATCAGTAAAAATACAGAGGACCTAGTATTTCAATTCACATAATAGTTTTACAAGTAAATAAATAAAAATTAAAGGGCATGGAAATAACGCAATAAAACCACTTTTTATTTGTATTATACTTAGATTATACAAACATAACTCAAAAATCAAACGCAAAAAGCATAAAACTTCTAATGTATCATTTTCATTTTTACCACGTGACCACTACGTCTAGAGCGTTTGTTTATTACATCTATATTTAAATATAATCATCTATCATGTAATAAAAAATTCACATCTCAGATGTATCCGATGTGGATATTCAAACGCAGCAATTCGGAAAAATGAATACGAAATCTTTATGGAAGACTTAATAATCTACTGCACAAAATCCTAACCGGTGCAGTAGGTTTCGGTCTTTTTTAGGAACAAGTCTAAATACAGTACATTAATTTTTCAATACTGAGAATGATATATAAAAACGATGCTGTTCAATAGACATAAATAGAACAACTACCGGTAGAGGTGTAACCATTCTTTTAAGCGTCCAATTATAAGTGACAACTACGTAAAATTTTGCCATGTTCACTGCAAGCGACGTATACCCCAAAGCAGTTTGTGGAGTACTGAGAGGACCACGCAATTTTCTTATGCAAACGGGAGTACCGTCAAAATGTCTGAATTTTTGATGTGTTAAATTACTTGATGTCCCCATCAAAAGTGTCCATGGGCCCAATCGTATCCTATGACTAGATTTTGAGATACAGGGTGTTGAAGTTAGAAATCATTAATTCTTTAAAATGGACACCATAAATCACCCTTAAATATTTTTGGTAGTTATTTGTTCATTCAGTGTAGTCAAAATACATACTTAACTACTATAATTAAAATTTTGTCACCTACAGGGTGATTATTAATTCCGCAGATTCTTTTTAGTCAAAGTAGGTGTTTTCAACAAACAAAAATAGCTGAAATACCCAAAAAATAATATATCACCGTCAAAGTCTCTCAATATTTTATATTGTATAGTTCTTGATGTATTTGTTCGAAATTCTTAATCGTAAAATTAGATCCTATGACTAGTTTTCCAAATATAACTTAATATATACCAAATATATGAATTTTAAACAATAAATATATCTACTGACATAAGTAGATATATTCAAGAGAAATACTGTATATTAAATATTTTGACACACTGTGTTGGATTAGAAATATGCCCCTTGTACTATTTGAGGGCAACCAAAAATATTTCGTACTTACAAGGTGATTGCGGTTAAATATGTAAGGTGAAAATATCAACAAAATTGTTGGCAAAAAATGGAAAATAATTGCCTTTTAACTTGCTAATTGTTTATCAAAAAAATCTTATTAGTTCACATACAGGGTCATACATTATTTCATTACAAAAAAGTTCATTATATGGTAGGTCTAAGTAAGATCTAGGGAAATGAATAATGGTCGGATTACATGTTTATTTTGACTGGAGCATTGCCTCTTTATATTGTATATTTATATCAGATTGGGATCTCCTTTCCGCGTTACCAATGAGGTAAAGCTCTAATACATTTTATTTTAAGTGTTAGCCCCTATAAGTCTATTGCACTGCTTGTATAATAGGGAAGGTCAAAAATTACCAAAAAAAAAAAAAACTAATTCTGGATAGTGTGAAAAAATTGTGTCTTATGTTCTTTATACCCTATATAAAAATTGGTGAAAAAATAAAATATTTAGCTGGGTCCTTAGAGGTGAGAAATTGAAAAATTAAAAAAATTCAGCTTTGAATGTTAAATCAACCTAAAACTCACCACGAGGAGGTGGCCGCACCTTGAGTTCCACCCACCCATTTACCCATTTATCTCAATATATCTTACTAATTTATATAAAGAGATCATTACATTTTTGGCCGTTTTTTCTGGCATCAAGTTTGACACGTACGTAGAGTTTTCACAACACCCGATTCTCTTTTCTCTTTTTTGACATTGTTATTAATGTTCTCATAACTTGGAAAAATATAATAAAAATAGCAATTACAGAAGACAACTGAATTTATTACAAATACTAAAGATATGAATTCAGATACCACTTTGTAAGATATAGGAGGTTAGGTAAACGAGAAGACAAAAGTCAAATATTAAATTAAAGGAATAGCCTGAAAGATAAACGACCAAATGACTGACGTAACTGAACCAAGACGTTAACGTTAAGTATTAGGTGCAAATACGAGATGGTAGTACAAATTAATTTTCTTCTACTGTGGGTCCGAGATCGATATTTTCTGGAAATAATCTAGCATCATCGATGCTATTTAGTAAACATGTTGTTGGAAATCTAATATTATTCTGGTGCCTTGCGTATCCAAAAAACCATAACACTGGTGCAGCAACATGTGCGTGAGTACTTAAAGTTCTCGAACCGCATGGACATGTACAATAATAATAGAAAATTTGATTAATATTTTCATTAAGTTCCTCTACCTATGCCAACCACAGCATATATTTAGTTGCGTTTCTGAACCTAGAATATATTCTAAAACGTATAAAATTATTCTCTTCTCTAAACTCGTCTATTTCTAAAACATTATTTTCCTCTCTTTGCAGTTTATCTTGAATATATGATGGACTTAAATAAATATGTTAAGAACCTCTACCAAGTCTTTTGGAAAATTGATCTCTACTCAAGCAAATTCAGGAAAATTCATGTAGTTCAGTCTTCGTCACCGACCATTTCTGGTAGACAGATTTTGGGCTTCAACGAGTGGTTGTATAATATTAACGTCATCTAGTTTGTGTAAAATTTCAACTACTATCCATTGTACCTGGTACATTTATAAGAGGATGAAACTTATTTAACAACGCACCTGCAATCTGATAAAAACCACTCAATTTAACAGCATGATGCGTGGATATGCGGCCTTTAAAAAATTTAAAAATGGATTTAAAATGTCCATTTTTGGCTTCTACAATCCAACGAGTTTTAATTATTAGTCTCGCTCTATTAGCTTCACTTGTTGATAATTGCCGTTCGTTTTGATAAAGCAAAGGTGGCATATCAGTAATTAACTCAAGTTCTTCTAATCTAGGAATAACATTTCTGTAGCCTCTATCTACTATTACTATATCTCCTTCTGTAATTCAGTTTCTAAATTCATTATTATCATTAGCCAATTGCTGTCGTAAGATTGCTGCATCATCATTAGATGCATCAGAAGAATAGGGACCATTGATTGATAAAATATGTCCGTCAGGAGCTACTGTAATTTCTGGCTTAACTAAATGTTCCTTCATAAAATAACAATAGGACTGATGTAATATTTTAAAATTACTACTTTTTTCAATTGAGTTATATGTACAATCGACATAAAATATGGCCTTTTGAGTATCTGCTATAGGTTTGTAAAGCGTGTTTACGAATTCAGGGACATGATTTATGATATAATTTTCTCTGGTTATTGATCTAAATCCAATATTACTAGATACAAATCTTTGAATCAGGGACATACGGATATTAGATATGACTATACTAGTGACATGTCGGGATGAATAATTAAAAAGTAATTTTATGAACTCATCTGACAATCCATGTCTTAGTTTAACAAGGAAAGCAAGTAAATCTTTTTAAGCAATATTTCTTGAGTTACCATATTCTATTGGTTCACAAAATTCATATAATACTTGGAAATTGCAGTTAAATATTTAAATTCTTCTAAACTAAAAGTATTTGTCTTCCCAATTTTTCTAATTATTATTAGCAGTAGCAGCCGCGCTTAAACTAGACAAAAATTGCTGAATATTAACGGGGAGTTATTCCAAAATCTAGGTCAGTTTGACAAAGTTTGTTATTGCCTATTTAAAATAATAATGTATGTACATTTATAAGCCTTTTCAATAAAGAACTCACAAGCAATTTATTTTCTAATATTTGGCATCAATTTTATATATTGTTGATTTTTCACCTTGCAAGTTCAACTGTAACCATCCTTTAGGGGATGCGACTTAAAACAAAATGTTTTGGGGGCTTTACTTCATTGATGGCATGGAATGGAGCTCATAATCTTATTTAAATATACAATACAAAGAGGCATTTATGATAATACTCGAGCCAAATAAACCTGTAATCTGATCATAATTCATTTCTCCACATCCTACTTAGACCTACCGTGTAATAAACTTTTTTGTACCGAAATAAAGTATGACCCTGTATATGGACTTATATTTTTTTGATGAATAACTCATAAGGTAATAATTTTCTATTCTTTGGCAACAATTTCAACATTTTGTTGATTTTTTTATCTTACATATTCAACCGCGATCACCCTGTAAGTACAAAATTTTGTCTGTTTCCAAATAGTACAAGGGGTATATATAAAATATCTACTTATGTCACTATATTGTTTAAAATGTATTTATTTGGTATCTACTTGTTATAGTAATAGTTATATTTGGAAAACTAGTCATAGAATCCAATTTTACCAATAAGAATTTCGACCAAATACATCAAGAACTATACAATATAAAATATTGAGAGACTTTGACGGTGATATATTTTGATTTTTTCGGTATTTCAGCTATTTTTGTTTGTTGAAAACACCTACTTTGACTATAAAGGATCTGCGGAATTAATAATCACCCTGTAAGTGACAATATTTTAATTATAGTAGTTAAGTATGTATTTTGATTACACAGAATAAGCAAATAACTTAAGTTATTCTCTTTATTTTGCTTGACGTACTGTCTAGCACATCAAACGGAGTATATGCTGTATTAACTTTATACGCAACTGACTTTTCTAGAAGCAATGCATTTAGAATAAAAACTGTACAAGAATACGTATTTACAACAGTGACTGTAGAAAAAATAAAGAAAATATATTTAATCAAACTTACTGGTCATCTTTTTCATAAATATTAAGTCCAAGGGCGTCGACGCCAAGGTACAATTCGGTTCCTTTTTTGTTGCGAATTTCGAAATAGTTTACACCGTACATTTCAAGATCTTGCGCTATTTTTAAATACTCCATCATGGCATCTTCTCTCAACATGCCCTTGTGTTCCTTCCACCATGTCATTATGCTGTTTTCCCATTCGTCTTTTGACATCTTGTGTTGGTCCATTACTCTGAAAAGGAAAGCATCAACGTTTGAATGTAATAAGAATAAGATTTATTTAAAGGGTAAAAATTAACTCGTGTAGGGAGGAAATGTATAATTCCGTTACTTTTTTCAAAATTAAATACTTCCTAGAAAAGTTTAAGAATATTTTCATGAATTTATTTTTATTAAAAATTTAAATTCATTGGATATTGTGAGTTTCTATACTCTAAAGGTACCATTTCGAATGGCGCGACAGACGACAACAGACGCGACGCCAAAGGACAGATGCATTTAACGCTTCACACTTTTTGAAGCAAGGAGACACACGACACGACAACCGCAGACGATAATTAGAGGGAACGATCAGTGTTGCCAGACCTACTGTTTTTAAGTAGATCCACTGTTTTTTGTCTCTGTTCTTCTGTTTTAGGCATGCAATCTACTGTTTTCGCCAACAACAAATTTTGTTTTTAATTTATTAAGTTTGCCTCGTTCTTCAGCAAATGGTCAAAGAATATTTTCTCTAGTAAATTTGCTGAAGTAAAAGAAGCGTAATATAAGCATCCACTACTGAAGTTTGCTCCATAAAAAAACCTCAAGTCAATCATTGTTTTTATTTAAAATACAACAAAGAATTAATAGAGACTGATCTAAAAGAAATACCTATTATTTTTCATTGGTTTCTTTTTGTTTCCGAACGTTAAGTATATATTAAAAATGTTATTATTTGTTTTTATTCTTTGTTTACTTTCTAATTTGGACAGAAAAAATGTTTATTTTACGTTTCTTATATACTTGTTTTTTTTTTATTTACTACTCTGCAAATAATAATTATTTCCCCCTGTATTAAAATCTACTGTTCAGATCTACTTTTTTTTTTCACCCATACTGTTCCAGCAAATGTTCATCTGGCAAAACTGCCTAGATCGAAAGAACTTTGCAACTAATATTTCTATAAAATATCGACCAATCCCCTCGAAATACAAGCGATGACTGACGACTGAGTGCAACAGACAGCAAACGCAAACGAGACCGATTTACCTGTCGTCGAGTTGTCTCTCCCACTGGTCACGCCTTGGGAAATGTGTTTCATATAATTGTATGTGTTCAGACGTGAAAAGACCGTTCTTGGTCTCCTTTGCCGTCGCGTCTGTTGTCGTCTGTCGCGCCTTCATTTAGATTTCTTGGAATTTTATTTAAACACGAATATCTCCAGATTTTTATAATTTTTACAAGTTATATTTGACTTACCTTTGAGGTAGTAACCTGTCATTCGTTAGGAACCCTGGAGAGTGAAGGTGTTTTTGGTAATCCCCGTGCCTGGCTTGGACAGCGTAGGACGCCAAAAGGACGGACGTTTCTGGAGGACAATATATCTCGTCTGACAAAATTGCATTTTTAACTTGAAGATAGAACAATCGGAGAGTGATGTCTTGTATCAACTCCTGTGCAACGTCTTCTGGGTAGAATTTGGCGCGAAATTTGAACTGAAGGGGATTTTCTTTTTTTACATCTTGGCTCATAACCTGCAATAAAAATAGTAAAATTAGCAAAAAAAATTAGTGAATTAAATTTTAATATCTACTATTACGAGGATGATTTTTTAAAATATTTTATTAAAAAATCATTACCACATGACATTTTCACGTAATCAAGTTTATTCTTTATAACAAAAAAAAAAAAAACGAAAAATAACAGCAAAGACGAACTAGAAGTTATTTTTGACAAAAAAAATTGTTACTATTTTAAGTAGACTAATCTGAATATTTTAGTTGAACATCTAATATTCAAACCCATGTCTCTTAATATTTAAACGATAATTGAAATAATACAAATAGATTAGACCGTTTTCAATTTACAGGTAAGTAGGCAACACAACATACACAGAACACACGCTTGGCTAGGGTGACTGTCAAATAAACATTGAAGTAAAATTTGAATTCGGTTATATCGTGTGATCACAAAAATAAAATCTTGTGTGTAATTTGAGCGGAAAGCTAGTTGCCGCTTACGATAAACTTTTATCTCAAGCGACAAAGCAGCACTTTCCGCTCTTCATTAGGCATTCTAACGACCTGTCAAAAATTTAATTTTTTAATATTTATTATTGATAAAGTGATAATTATGTTTAATAATCTTAATAATGAAATAGGTATTTTCTATAATCTCCTAAGAATATTTTTTTTCTAATAGTGATGCAACATCCTGGATGACTTATTTTATAATTAAAATTAATTCCAAATGCGATAAATACAAATTACAATAAACACATTGATTACGTGGTTTTATAACCATTAAAAAATTCATTAAAAAAATAACTAAATATTATTTATTGTTTACGTTTGAATTATTCCTTATTGCAACTCCAACTAGACAATCTTTAACCAAGGTAATTAACAATAAAAAATTTATTTTATTTCGCAATTTATCATATCAAAAACAGATTAAAATCAATTTAAAACAACTATGACTGAAATTAAATATGCATTGTAGAATAAATTATGCAATTAAAAATTTGGGAGATTCCAACATTGTATCTTGTATTTTTTATACGAGGACGGCAAAAGAAACTAAACGGGGCTTTCGTCACATTTCACCAGTGGCGGCTCGTGGTAATTTAAAAGGGGGGTTCAATTTTTTCAATAATTTTAGCATTTGTAAAACTTTGTACAAGAGCCAATATCCCTCAAAACTTCTTTGGCATCGTCCGTTTTAATACAATTAAATTCCGAATTTTTTATAAGATTCCTGAGTCATGCAAAGGTTGCTTGATACCATCACTTAGATCAGCGATACTCAACCTTTTTTTTCCTTCGGGCCACATTCGTATATGTGCTATGTTAGACGGGCCGCAATATTTTTGGATGATGACCTTTTTTTAGGACATCTATCTAAAATTAGTTAGTGGGGACCTCTAATAAATAAAACACAAAACATAAATATATCCCGTTGTTACTGCAAAAACAAGATAACTCACATTTTTAGAGTTTCGATAAACACTATTCAAATGTTTAAAACTGAATAAAAAATCAGTAAAAGCTTCAAACCGTTTATTAACTTCAATGAAGAAGGTATTGAAAACATTGTTCACAAAGTATAAACTAATAATCTATCAATAATTGGTAAAAAGAGAACGAAAAAACGTCACTTAGCTTATTTTAGCCCTACATATAAAACATAATTCAATGTATGTGTCACTATCTTCAGTCGAAGTTTCAGTAACATTATTGGATATTGTGATAATAATGGTGAAATTTATCAGGTGTACTGATTTTGCAAAATTTTAGTAAATCTTTCTTCTTGCACTTTTTTGTAAGTATGTTCAAAACTTTGTTTCATCTTTTCATGCATCCCTCTGAATAAATACTGTGCGAGTTTGGCATATAAAGCCGAATTCCCCTCCCTCGCCCATTGATTAATTAAATCTATTTTTTTGGTTTAATGTATTTAGGATAGCTGAATCTTTCAATACGTTGTCTATTAGAAGGTATGGTTAAAATTTATATTCGCCTGTTACCACTAATACTTTTATTCACGAATTTTCACATAAAGATTCGCTCGTTACGGCTTGACGAATCACTCGTTACAGCTTGACCAATCACTCGTTCACCACGGAGATTCGAACATCACGTGATATTATCTGGTGGTTGTTAAAGGTTAGCTGTATCGCGGAATGAAAGGGTGACGTAATCATCTCGTGAATTTCGGAACAATCGAGAAAGGCCAGAGACGGCTTTAGTCATAACAAAACAAATGGCGTGGGCACAATGTAATATTTTAACAAACACATTCAACAAAAATAAGTAGCGGCAAACCACTCCCGAAATACTGGTACGTTTTCACTGGAAATCACCGAAATCACTACACATTTTCTCGAAAATTCCAAAATCATCATCTAAAATCATGGTCGAAATCAATTCATCGCTCACAACCCGAAATGGCGAGAAAAAAAGATCATTGTATAAAATTAAGGTGGATTTTCAGTAAAATCACCTAAATTGCATAAATTTTTTTTAAGTGACTTCCGAAATACAGGTACGCTTTGACATTGGTTTCCCCTTGGTTCTGGCCTTTATCTTGTTTTGGCCAGAACACTATTAAGAATCGAACTAAATGTATTTAGCAAAAATAAGTTATATGCCTATTATCTGGTTTTGGTAGACACATTTATCAATTGAACACAATGTTATGATTATGTTTTGGTATAAATGCCACTCCACCTTATTTGTCTATATTGTTAAGGTATTAAAATGGAGTTAGTTTTTATTGGCTATCTGTTTATCATGAATATAGACTTCTTTCACACTTCTAGAAAGTGTACCTACTTAACTCGAAAATTCTTACAGCCGTATGCATAGTCGATCGCCAGCGACTCGCCAGAGATTCATTCCGGCGTTTCGCCAGCGATTCGCTGGCGATCCGCCGGCGAAAGCCCAAAAAGGTGGCGTCTCGCCGGAGATTGTCACCGGAATGTCATTTCACGCAAGTTTTTATTTTCTTTTATAGGGATTATCACCGGTATCTCTCGCATTTTATTCATGATTCATTTCTTAAAACTCAAAAAATAATGAACGAATATCAAATTTGTCCCTATAAAAGAACATGAAAACTTGCGTGAAATGACATTCCGGTGACAATCTCCGGCGAGTCGCCAGCGAATCGCTGGCGAGTCGCTGGCGATCGACTATGCATACGGCTGTAAAAGTGGAGCTATCTTGTTTTTGCAGTAACCCCATAAAATTCCAAAAAATTAGCATGCCATTTAGCGCTGCGACCAATAATAGTGTTGCGAGCCACAAAAACAGCTTGGAGGGCCGCAGGTTGAGTATGGCTGACTTAGATGATCCGTTACTAGAAATGGTACAAGTTTTTATTTCATCTGAAACTCGTGACATTTTCCCTGTTGTTTTGGTTAGTTTTTAGAGAGGACAAACCTAAGAGCTGCCAGTGAATCCTGAAATATGCTTTTTATACTTCGCACAAACATTTGCTCTTTTGGTGAAGCAATTTTTGATTAAATTACGTGGATATACAAAAGCCACTATACCCACCCTGGGCATTGCAAAGCCAAGATGAAAATAATGGGTTTTGTTCAAATTTCGCTCGGTAGAATTGTTTAAAACTTTATTTACACTACTCCAGACTATAAGCAAAGAGTACAAAATAGCTATAAAAGAGAAGTCACTCGCGGCATTTACAAAGGAAATCGCGCTTCAAATGCGGGCCGACAAGTCGGCGTTTTTTCAAAGAGTACAGAGCTAATTGGGCTATACCGGGGTTAAGCGGTAAGACGCGGCGGCGATGATAGTGGAATGTAACGGCCAATATACAGCGGAATCTAACGTAGCGGAGCAAACGAGCCTTACGCGTTGAACTACACCGGTATACTGCCGATCGAGAAAGGACTGTGGAGGACTGGCGGCTGATAGCGTTAGAAGGCCGTAAATGGGCGAGTTACCCCTCTTTTATAGTTAGTTATATTTTGTCCTCTTTGCTATAAGTAAACAACGAACAAAACACAAAAATCGGATATTTTAGATTAATTGGATATTTTCGATTTCTTAGAGATATATTCGATTTTGATTAATCGATTACAATATTATACTGTTTTCAAACACTACAACTATTAACTAAATTGCTGTACACTGGTGATAAATAAATAATCGATTCATAAAAGTAATCGATTAATCGAAAAGAAAAGAAACGAATCGAAAAGAATAGAAAAAAATCGTAAATAATAAAAAAAAAAATCGAAAAGAATCGAAAAGAATCGAAATTAATGGAAAATATATAAAAAGAATCGAAAATAATCGATAAATCATAAAAAATAGATTATTTTTAAGTAATATACTAGGCCCTAACGTTTTTAACAAGTTTTATTTGAGTAATTGGATTTTTTTTAATTAATTTATAGAAATCTACTGAAATCTACCAAAAGAAAATTGTCTACTAAAACTATTTAAAATAGCTGAAAACCTACCAAAAAAGCAGAAATCTACCAACCGTGGCAACGTTGAATTAAAGACTCCTAGTCAAAGTGACCTTGACCAAGCACAATAACTAATCGTTGGACCAAGCGAAGTTAACTGTCGTGACGTAATCTACGTGCGATGCACAAAAGATGCTAAAAATAGCGTGGTTTCAAGCAGGCACACTGCTGTTTCACGGATCTATTGTTATCTTTTTAACATTCATTCTGACACCTCTCGCGTTCACTAGACATATTGAACCGACAGGCTTGATCGGCCTGAGCGCAGTGGAGTTCTAAAAAAAGTAGAGATTAATACGTACGAAAATAATAAATATATTAAAGTGAATTTATATTATTAAGTTATTTATATGTAATTTTAAAATAATGTGCTCTCATGAAATTTAACTGGGTGTTCACTGCACAAATGAACCAATGGAGAAACCATCCCTGCATTTCACTATTTATCTGACGGCTTATTTTCCCTAACTCGTTATACAAAAATTAGCGTCAAATTGTGATATTATATAATTTTCTAAAAATATTTGACAGAATGAA